TATATATATATATATATATATATATATGGAAAAATGGAAAATATTATTGATGAATATCCAAAAACACCAGATTTACAAGAGAAATTATACCAAAAGGTATATTCCAAATTTCAGATTATCTCAGAAAAAAATAAAGATATTATAGAAAATATATTTATGAGTTTAAAAGTACACCAAGTAACGAGAAATAACATTGAGAAATTACAAACCGATCTACAAAATAAAAAGGCAGAATTAGTCGAATACCAAAAAGCACCTATCTCAACTTTATGGCGAATTGAGTTAGATGGTTTTTTTAAAGACTATAAAGAACTTTGAATGAATAATTTTTTTTACTTATAGTCTTCATTTTAAATTGCTCACAGTGAATCGTATTTCTTGCGGAAATGTAGAGGGACTACGCTGGAAAAAACAACTGGATCAAGAAAACAAAAAGATCATAAATAAACATCTTAAATGAGAAATTAATAGATTAGATTTACTATCCGTTCCAAATCTATATCAACAAATTTTGAAAAGATCCAGTCAAAGTCCAATAGAAGATTTAATAGTTTTAAATGACATTTATAAAGAAATTGTTCAAAAAGATATGAATCAAAAGAAAAAAATGATGAAATTAAATTCAAATTTATTTTACTATTAACTGAAGTCATCAGAGCACATTTAACTTTACTATTCTATTATCTATTATTCTAACAAATTCAGTAAATTTAGCTAGTGCTGACATTAATGGATATATTAAAACATTGAAAATCAAAATACTAAATATACAGACATTGGAATTGATAATTTATTTATGAGTCAAACACACGTAACTAAAATAAATTCAAAATACAAATTACATCTATTCGAATGGGATGTACATGAAACAAAGAAAGTTTTGTTACCAAATGTATTCTTAATATGTATACAATTTTAATTGATTTTATCGTTAATACTATTCGTAAAAACGTTGCGGATAATTTAGCTGAAAGTATGTTAAAAGAGGCTATAATTGAAAAAATTGGTTCATTCAAAGGTCCATTTATGTCTTCTGAAATGCACAATGTTAATATTGAACACAATAAAAATAAAGCAAAAAAATCTAGAACTAAAACATCATCAAAAAATACAAAAAAAACAACAACAATAAATTCTGCCGCAAGTAAAAATTTCAGCAATTTATCACTAGATGAAATTAACACGACTACGGAAACATTCAATGATAATGATAATGCCGATCTTATTTGTAAAATTGTTGAGAAAGAAAATATTTTAATGTATTGGTTGAAATAACAAATATTCACTTAGAAAGTTCTCTACCTAACCTTCTGCTCAAATCGGTCTCACGACTGTATCTCAACACTTGAACTATAACAATTTATTAAGACACATAAATTATATCCACTAACTTGTCTCTTTGTGAGTTTACTAAAACAAAAAAAAAAGCAATAGCAAAAAAACAAAAAAGGCAATAAAGCAATAGTTAAAACAGAAGAAAGAATGTATGTCTATGAATATAATCAAGAACCTAAACTATATAAAAATAAATTCATCGGAACAATCTTGGACAATACAATTTAAAACAAATAAAACTAATATTATTCCATATATTTATTCTAGATTGGGTGAAATTGCATTGTATAGTAAATTTATCAATACTACCAAATATAAATGATATCGTAGATCATGAAAGGAATAATCAAAAAATGCTAATATCTGAATTAGCAGATGAAGATAAAATATTAGTAGATTTAAATTTAAATCAAATATTACCTAGTATTCCAGGTACATATAAACGTCCAATTGAAAAACAAATATATTTCCCAAATGTAGAGGATTTCTTACATCAATTATTACCTAAATGGACACATGAATTGATTAATATTAATTATAAACATAGAGATTTAGAAGCCGTTTTAAATGCCAGATTATATGTTGGTATAAAAAATAATACATCAATTAATATATGTTTTGTTAATGGAAAGGTGTTTTATAACTATTTACCAAGTAAATTTAAAGATTTATTTAAAAATTTACTCAAAATTAATACGGAATCAAAAATATTTAAACATATAAGTTTCATTTTAATCTTACATAATCATAAATTTGAATATATAAACCAAAGTAAAGACCGTTTATGTGGGTTGTTTGAAATTAGCAAATTGGCCAGTGCAAATTTAATTATATATAGAGATTTACTTAAAAATATTATTTCTACTCCAAAAACTAATATAAAAATAAAAAATGATGGTCATTGTTTTATAGGTACTTAACCACAACATCTAATTATAGTAGAAGGTTTAAGTGCAGTAACTAGTATAAGATTAGCTATCGAGAACTTAAAAAGTAAAAATGTAGTTAAAAATCTTGAACATTACACATTTTATGCCTCAACAGGAAAATTAAAGAATTATATTAAAAATTCTACAAATGATAAAAAAAATATTTTGAATGAATTAGCATCTATTTTAAAAAAAACGTATAAAATGATGCCAAACCTTTGTAAAGGTTTGGCATTATATACTAAAGATGAATTAAGTAGAATATTTCTAGATGAAGAAAAATATTTCTTTAATATTGAATATTCTCAAGAAGGTTTACAATATTTTATTAACAATATAAATGTAGATTCATCTTATCGCAAAAATCTTCATTCAAATGAAATAGAAGAAATAAAAATAAGTGATGAGAGAGTAAATATTAAAAATTATATTAATTCTGAATTTAAAGAATTTTTACATTCTTCAAATAAAAGAATCATTCCATCTTTAGAAAATTATTTAAATGATTCATCAAGGAAGATATGCTTTATTAAAACATCCGAAAGATATATTCAAAATCAATAAATTGGCTAGTGTTATAATTAGCAATTTAAAATATCAACATGGAGATATATCATTATGTCAAACTATTTTAAAGAATTCTTTCAATTTTGTAACAGGTATGTTTCATTAGTATTAATACAAGGAACAGGTGGTTCACGTGAAGAATTAGGTAAAGATTATGGTGCATTTAGATACATATCTGGATATTTAAATCCATTATGTTTAAGAATATTTAGACCTGAAGATTCTATTATATATAATTTAAAAACATATGAAAATACTATTGTAGAACCAGAAGTATTATATCCTATAATTCCTCTAGTTTTATGTAACTATGGAGAATATATTGGCTTCTTATATTCCTAGTTTTAATATTCTTGAAATAGTTTCATTAATTAATAAATTTCTAGATGCTATTGATCAAAATACATCATTTACATTTAATTTACCTGAATTATATGTCCGAGGATTTTTGGATGGTTATCATAATGATATAAAAATATTCTTAAAGAATAGAATACCTTCTAGTTTAGAAATAGAAATAATAACGTCATATATAATTAATATATCAAAGTATCAAAAAGATTTAATTTCTAAACATTAGAAAGGAATATATTCAAAAATAAAAGATATAAAAAAATTTTTTATATATTTTTTTAACATGAGAAACAGTTTTTATTTCATTTTTATTTTCCAAACCATCTTTTACATGTTTTACAGTTGCATTATGTTGTCTTTGATCAAAAAGATCTTTTGATTATATCAATTCAATTAAAAGAAAATATATTAAATATTAACGATTTTCTAGAAATTTTCTGTCTTGAATTATATTCATAAAATACCTCTTGATATACCTATCAATTCGTGCCTTAACTTAAACTTTCAATAAAACCCTAATAGATTGTGAAAAACTTTTATGGAATCTCTGAGGTGTGAAAATCAGTTGTGATCTAGACCGTGACGTGAATAGCACGTAAACCTAAATTGTTTATATATATAAACAGATGAATAGTAGTATAAAAGTATTAAAACTTTACTAAAATATATCATTTTTTCTTCATCTAATACTAATACTTTATCAATTACTTGCTCTTTCTCTTCGAAATCATCATCTTTGAAAACAAATCCATTTGCTATTTCTATTATTCCACAATTTCCATTAGCATTTCCAGTATTAACAATAGTTAAAGTCGGTCTTTCACCATTTCCTCCTACGACACAATTTGGTAATAATATTTTTTTAATTTGAATACCTGCATTTACTGTTGAGGCTGCTTTACATTTAGGGATAAATTTTTTTGAACTATTGGGTTCTATATCTCTTATTGTTAATCCCAATTCTTTTAATATTTGACCTTTTCTTGAAAATTTCTTGCAGATATCAGAGCTCTCCCAGAGTATGACCTGGCTCATCGGACTGTATACAACGCATTTCATCCAGAACGACACCATCTAGATGAGGCAGCTGGCCAAAAGCTTTACACCTATCCGTATAGCATTGAAGTCAAACCTGTTTTGACTATCAAAGTTTTCAAGCCTACACAGGGGGACCCTTTCCCGGAACTTTCGCTTCTTTCAGGAACTTTGAGTCAAGATATTTCTGTGTATATTGTGCACTCCTTCTTGTACAAAGCAATGAATGTATTTGAGATTGAGTCTCCTACCGACTGGACCAGTTTCAAACTTATAATCTGCAAAGAAAAGGAGGAGGTCACACCTCTAAGTCTGTTCAACATTCAAAACGTAGAGGAAGATTGGCCTGCACTGTCAACATCAACAGCTGTTGCTTCAAAAAACAAGTTATTAGGTACTCTTGCTAAGGTGTTAATGATATACAGGTTGGGTTCTGCGCTACAAGATCAAGGTGATTACATTTCAGCTCTGACAAGCAGATTGGAGGTTTTGTACAGGGTTCATCCTTTTAATATGGGAAACCCAGTGGGCCTCAAGTTGTGTATGGCTTGGGCTTTGGATTCAACCTATCGTGCTCTTGCAGCCGCAATTGATATGTTTTTGAATCGTTTTCAGAGCCACCCGCTTTCGGCTTTGCGTGCTTGCACCTTACCTGCTTTCTTGAGGGACTGTTCCACTCTAACTTCTATTCATTCAACTGCACGTTGTCTTTCAATAGGCGTGCACGAGCTTATGGAGTTCGCCTTCATGAAAGAGTTGGCAAGCGATATTGATCGAACCATTGGACGTAGCGAACACCAAGAAATGCGCAATCCCAACTCTTACTTCCATTACTGCCGAGAATTGATGCTGATTCCACGCTCACCTTACTCTGCGTCAGCAAACCCAAGTTTATTTTTATGGTGCCATGTCATTGGTTGTTTACAGAATAAGAAAAGATCTATCAATGCCAGGTACGTTGAGTGCGATTCACCTAATCGCATTGTGGTCAATGCGATTGTGATCACTTATTACCTGGGCCATCATGTCACAGCTGGCCGATATTTCTTCCGAGAGAAAGGGCCTGGCATTGAGTATATGCAAAGTATGCTACGAGTCATGGATAAAACAAAGTCGTCTGGCAAAGTGACTGTGGTCAAAACCCTTGAAACGTATCTTGAGAGTGAAAATGAGGTGAAAGATAATATCAAGAAATTTTTCGCGCCTGCCAAGATAAGTCTTGCTAAAGCTCGTCCAGATAGTGTTGGGGCATTGGTTTACCAATTCCTTTAAATCAGTTGAAAAAAAAAAAAAGAACAGCGGTACCATCCTGTCGAAACGAAGAAGAAAGAAAAAAAAAAGAACAGCGGTACCATCCTATCGAAAGGAAGGAGAAGTTTAACAAAGATACGAAGACTTACAATCGA